ATTTATAAACGCCATCTATTGCGAATTTGTACCATTTTTAGTTATGAGGGACTGGCGCTTATGTCAAGTTTTTCAATCGTACGTCTCACATCTCGCTCCGAATTGACTAAAAGAGCTACGTATTTTAACGCTGCATTTAACAGAAAATCATTACCATAATTGTTGCTGGGTAAAATGCTATTGTTATTACTGGTTTCAATCTCAGTTCCATCGCTGTTCCTATAAATACATATAGTTTTATAATTTTTCTAGAACTTTTAATTTCTACCTACCATAAACGTAAACCAGCAACACCTTTTTTGGGAATAGTTGCGAGATCTCCTAAATGTTGGAATAAATTCCCTCAATAAATGGTGTAATTTTTTTAATTGAAAATTGAAGTTTTTTGTATGAAATCATTTACTTTTCACTTGTCGTTTTCGAGATGGATCAGTCTGGCGCTTTTGTAACATTTGATCAAAATCAACAAGGTACAAATTACCGGCAACCAAAATAGTACATTGTTTTTGTGCTTTTTTGTATGCATCTTCGATTTCTTGACAGGTTCTTTCATCGTATTGCCACCAACCTGTAATCAAAATTATATATAAATTAATTTTTATATGCACACATTCGACAATACGAAGGCGTTTTACTGTCCATGGCTAAAATTATTTTTTTAAAAACTCAACTGAATTCTAGATGACCAAAATTGTCCGGAAAAAGAAAGAATAAATTTTTACTTACATTCTAACTAGCTCTAACACGGCTCATCATATAAAACAACTTTTGAATGTGACATATATTGAAAATCATTTCGCCTCTTTGGAAAAAATCTTCCATCTCTCATATTTTACAAATTCAAGACTTTTAACATAATTTAACATCGTCTATCAGTTAGAGTTTCAACAGTACGGTCTTTTCGATGCTACTTACTAATGGCTAATCTTGATAACCGTGATCTGGGTTGGAAAATTCCACAAATTTTTGAGTCTTGTAAGTAATTTACGTAAAGAATTGTAATTTACGTATTCTACATATAGAAAAGTTCATTTATGTAGAATACTTCAAATTGACCAAAATTACTGACTTTGGATGCTCGCGTTCACATATTAAATGGACATCAAAACAGTGTAAAGCGAACAGTACAATATCAATATACCGGAAAATTTATTTTCAAACCTCCCAATAACGGAAGCTCTAAATAGCGGAAATCCCCTGAATAGCGGAAGAATGTTTCTCCATGCGATTCCTTCATTCACAGGTTTAACTGCATTGAAGAAAACAGAGACGGTGTTTCCGATTAGAATCCAAGAAGTCGAAAAAAATCAAAATTTTCTTTGAAATACACTGCCAATATACTTGGAAATAATGCTTGATGTATCGATTTATAAAAAATTCGAATTGAAAAAATATTTACACAGAAAACACTAAACAATTTAATCAACAATCAACATTCTATGATTTGAACTTAAGCCATATCGACTTAAGTCTTGAAATTCTTGAAAATATTATATTCGGTTGATTGTACTAGAGCTACTCTTCACAAGGTCGATCGAATATTCTTGCCAAATGTGTTCGGAAGGAGATCTAAAGAGCTACAAACTTAAAATCTCGTAACATCCTACCTCGAGATGTAAACAAACATCAAGCATTAAATTCACAATCCACTCAAATGGACCATTCATTTTTATTTTGATTAATTGAAAAATAGTTTCATACGTTGTGTAGGATATTCATTAAATTTTTTCATGTGATCTACCATAAGTAATCTACATTACAGTGAAAAACATGTCTTCAGATTCAAGATATGAAAGAATTTTCAACTTTCTATTTGATATAAGACAGCGACTTGAAAATCAAAAGGGTCCATTTTACTCATAAAAAATTGCAGTTACCTGATCATCGTGAAAACTTGTGAATCTTATTTTCTGATCAAAATACATAACATCATCAAGTTTTATAAAATGTCAATTCAAAAAAGTATGGATACCTCCCATGCAAAATTTTTGTTTTCTAGCTTAAATACGAAAAAAAATTGTATGAGCGGATGAAAAAGAAAAGGAGCTGGTGCTATATGTGGATCGAGACCGAAAAGACGTAAAGTGGGCAAACTTGCAGAAAACGAAACTGGAATATTAGCCATAAAATTATCCGCCACAACGGCAGTCAAAGCGGAATATTCATAGCCGTGGTCTATCTCTTGCCGAAAACACTGACGCGCTCCCTGATTGCATTAAATCAAACTAATCTGTCCAAAATGTTTTGTATTCACACAAAAAGTATTTGTGGTAGATTTACGACGTCTAGTGATGAACATATAGTTTACCGAAGTATAAGTGAATTCTACCACAGATATTTTATGAAACGTCAAACCCTTCAAGTACTAACCAAGTGGTAAGTATTACATTATTGACTCGTATTGGTTTGACGTGTCATAAAATAGCTGTGGTAGAATACACTTATACTTTGGTAACCTATGTTCACCGATAGATGTCGCAGATCTACAACAAATATTTTTTGTGTGTTGAATCTAAGAGATGGCAGCAAACATATGTTGGCAGCACTGCTTCAATAAAAATATGAACATTGGGACAGTTTGGGACAGATAAATTTGTTTTAATTTTTTAATTTAATATTTTTAAATATTGTGAACACAGAATCTCACAAAATTGGAAAGAAAATTAATTTCCATTGAAAAGAGTTTAAAACTTTTTTATTGTTACTTTTTAAATTATTTTTCTGTACTTTTTAGACTTTGTAAATGGATTTTTGTTATTGTGAATATACGAGCGCCATCTGTTAGATGCAACACAACACATTTGGGACAGATTAGTTTGATTTGGGAATTCCTATAAGAGACCACGGCTATGGGAATATCACGATATTGTGCTGCCATGGATTGCAAAGAAGAGATCGAGTCGACAAAAATCTGTGAGCTGGCGTCACTTTTGTTTTTACAGAAAGTGAAAGTTGCCAATGAAGAGACCATTTTGACCAACAACTGGAATTTTTTCTATGGGAAAGTAAATGAAATTGCAGCATATAATACTATTTTGTAATAATAATAAATTTATGTGTGTTTTCTCTTTGTCGTCAAGGTCATTGTGGACTCTTCGGATTTGAGCTGCATCGTAACTTCACCGTTGAACGCCTCGTCTGTGCAAGATGGATTCGAATCCACTAACGAGATAGAATTAGGATCGATGAATTTAACATTTGAAACTAACTAATGTAATAGCATATTACATGTAGCTGGGTCGATTCGGTGACCCAGATTTTATCGATAGAATTTAGAGGAAAGAATATGTGTAGGTTGTTGGTATCTATTCTATTTGATGTTCGTAGAAAAGGTATTGAATCCCTATGCCAATATTTTAGTCCTTCGATAATAGTTCATGGATAGATAGAGTACATTCGGGAAGAGTTTTCATTGTAAGTATTTATTCACTGCATGGCAATTGACCATATTTTTTTTGCTTCGGCAATAGACCAAGAGCCACTCCAACAAGTAACTTTTTTTTTGCTTTATGTCAGAAAACTATATTAAACCATGCAGCTAGACATACACTAAACAAATAATTTTACGTCTATCATTACAGCCCTCCCACTCGCGAAATCTGCACTATTATTTGCGGATGGAAAATACATCAACTATTAAAACGAGCTGCATGTCTATTTTGGTTTTGGAATATGTTTTGTTATTGCTCAAATATTCGTTGGTTAAAATTTCTGCATGTAATTCCGTGTTGTTTACAAAATCTGCACTAATTAATTATGTAAAAAAACTATCAATTATTTTTTCAGCTTTACGTCTGAAATTTTAAACATTTTAGTGCAGATATTTATAATTTTGTGTTATTTTATAATAAAGATAATTGATAGTGATTTTGTAAACAACACGGAATTACATGCAGACATTTTGACCAACGAATATTTGAGCAATAACAATATGTAAATAAAGTCTTTGGACTAAATTCAGGCGTTTATTGCGCCACATAAACAAAATCAAAAATATCAACCAATGCACATAGGATACTTAACGGGACTCCTACTCTACTGTCAAATACAATTTGCACAAAAATTTCCATTCGCGTCTATAATAAGCAAAAAGTCCGGTCGTATTCCCAATCTGAGTGCTCAAACCTTTCAAAACTGTCATCAAGTACCGAAAACCGATTGGTCAAGCAAACATTCATTTTTGATGATTCATATGGTTACAAGTTGTCTTGTAACTTACAAAACATCCAAATTTGAACCAAAACAATAGATTTAGACACGATCATTAGGAATCAGCAAAATGTGTAACGAAAAAATTCTAAAGGGTGTCAAAGAATGTGTGTTTACTTCACTTTATAGCATGTTGCACTGGAAAATTGATCATTTTGAACGGTGAAACATTCATCGCTATATCGAACCACGAATCAAGTGCAAGTGGTTTCTTTTGCATCGACTATGTTGAGGCACTACTATATAAGGCTAGAGAACTTTGATAAAGTGGTGTTTGCATGTTAGGATCTTCTTTGGAAGGTATTTTAGAGCCATTATTCGAAAATTTAGTGTTGAAAAGTTAGGTTAAACCTCTATTAATTGCTCCATTATCAACCAATTATTGTTGAAATCGATAGAATTCGTTGAGAACTATCGGATTAAAGACAAAACTGTGCTTTGCAAGCAGAAAAAACCACAATAATGGCTCACTTCTTAAAAAATAGCATTTCCATAAAAAAAATCTTTTTAACTCCACAAAAAGACACCTAATTAGTTATTTCTCATCTGTTTTTGGATGTATGTTATAGGCGAAGGTCCAAAATACTTGAAACGAGCAAAAATTGATTGGATGGATTGAAAGAAAGTTGAAAGAAATCGACAAATCGGTTGTCTAGAACATAATTCTGATGGCTCGATACACACCGAGAAAAAGCGAAGACAATGGTCCGTTCAGTGCAAAGTGAATGTGCTATTCGATAGCCCATAAATAAAGGTTTATATAAAAAAAACGAATTTAATATTGTATGTGTTCAATAAGAACAATTCAATAAGAACAAAAAATAAAAATAAAAAAAAATATATAAAAATAACACTTTGCACATTCAAATAATATTGTATTAAAGTCCAGTAAATTCATTCAAATTGTATTCTAAAGTCCATAAACTCAAATTCATTGAAATTGCATTGTTGACAAAAGTAAAGTAAAGCAAATCAAGTAAAATTTAACTCCATATATGGTAAGCCTATTGTAAATGGCACATCAATCATAAAGCATTTATAATTATAAAAATAAAATTTCACTTAGTTCCAGTGACCGGTTCGCGCATATTTCTATGCCTGATAGCTATGCTAAGCATAGCGGAGACGCAAGCCGCAACTCACCCGTCGCCATTCGATTTGAGCTATATTGTATGCGCACGGTCGTCTGCATAAACGAACATGTGCATTGTTCATATAGAGTGAACGGCGATGCGTCGGTTGCGTTTGCGGCTATGCTTGGCATATCTATGCTACCTAGCGTATTTAGGCAAGCATAGAAATATGCGCGAACCGGTCACTGCTTAGTTCTGTTTGATCAGTGAGCAAATTAACATCTTTTATTTGACTTCCCATGAAAACTAACTTTAATCTATTCACTGATTATTTCTGAAACTCATATTTAATGTATTGTCTTATTGACATAACATTATTTGGTCCTTCGAAACAATTATTGAACTGAGTAATAAATTGTAATTAACGATAAAACCTACGACGACATAAAAACAAATCATAAAAGTAGCAAAATGACTACAAACGACGAAAGCAGCAGTGAAATGCAGCAAAAAATAGAAGCGCAACGTGTTCATTCTCACCAGTTTGCGACTTTCAAACGAAATTATGGCAAAGATAATAGTCAACGGAAAGCACAAGACATTTGCATGTGTATTGTCTTATTGACATAACAGTATGTGTGTTGTTCAAATGGCAACGTCTGAGTTTAGTCCAAAGACTTTCTTTACATATGTTAGCTCTCGGTCTTGAAGTGGGTGGCTGAAGTTATAAACGTAAAATTATTTGTTTAGTGTATGTCTAGCTGCATGGTTCAATATAGATTTTGACATAAAGCAAAAAAAAGTTACTTGTTAAAGTGGCTCTTGGTCTATAAGTCGTAATACCAATCACTATGTTTTGTGATTGCTATCAATTGGCATGAAATTTGACCTTCTTTAAATTGAGAATTACCATTTTTTTCTTTTGCAGATATGAACTACTGTACAGACCGTCATGAATCTTGTGAACAATGACTTTAATAACCGTGTTAGTTTGAAAGAAAAAAAATTATACAAACCGTTATGTCCTTTATAAAACCATTGATACTCGTTTTGATCCAAATTACTTGTTGACGGCATTGAGCTAAATAATAGTTCCGGATGTTCAAGAAACTCACTGGGAAATTCTGTACGACACATTGCGCATCGTCGATTTTTGAGGCCCTAATTGATAAAATATCTAATTATTAATAGTTACTATTAACTACTTCCAATGAATATTATAAAAGACAAAAAATAATAGATTTAGACGTTAAAATCAATACAGTTTGAAGACTATTTGAAACAAATTATTCAAAATGTAACCATTTAATTAAACCACCAGGCGAAGGTACGCCAATACTATTAATCTTTTTCTTTAGAATTAAATAAAATAAAAGTAAAGTTTTTTTAAATTATCGTGAATATATTTCAACCAATAATCACAACAATGAACGAACTACTTGACTTAATGAAAACAAAAAAAAAATCATTTCTAAGGCTGAATATCGGAATGTCCATTGTGTAAATATCACAATTAACGATATTTTTCTGTCACTTCATTTATAAAAATGCCTTAATTGTATTTACGTACCTTGACACACAAAAAGCAAAATATATGTCCACATGGCAATTTGCTGGGATGAACACAAAGTTGTAAACATACTGGACATTCCATCATTTCCAGTTCTGTAGCAATGTTAAAATTAAAATTAATTAATTTAATTCCACATAAAGAGAACCATTCCATTTTTTAACTGATTACTCAGAGCCAGTATTTACCATTTTTGTCATCTATTGAGTTTTTAAACGACACATTCAGGTTGAGGAGTTCCAAAATTTTGAATCGAGTAGAATTTTTTTTTAATAAACTGTATACATTTGTTATTAAAAAATCTTATTGCAAAGTTTAGTAATTGATTACAATAATAAAATAAGAATATTAATTCCTTCATAAGTAAGTTAAATCTTGGACCTGTGACTTTCAACAATTAGTTAAACTAACCTTTTTCCTCCATCACTAAGACTTCACTGGCATATAACCCAGCTTTGGCCATTGCTTTTAATACACTCAGTGCTTTGCAAAGTGAAATAATCAATTCCGTATTTGCTTAAAAAATTGTTCTTAGTTTCTCGCATTTATTTATATATCTGCACTTTTGAGAAGTGAAAATAATCTTCGTAACAAAAATGTGGATCGTTAGTTGCTTTCCTTTCACACCATAGTATAAAGCAAAAACTCAATTGAACTGGCAACTGTTATATCTTCAAGTTTCCTCAATTTTTGATGACCAATTTTTTTTCTTCACTTGCTTGAGTTTTATTATAAAAGAAACAATATTCCACCTCAACACCTTTCTGTCGTATCAAGAAATCTCACTTAAAATGAGTAAAATACGATTTTTAACAGTTTTTTCGAGAATTTTGTTTCATCGAATAGTTTTTTTTTGTTACTATATTGTACTTATACTGACATTTAAGCAATAGGGTTGGGTATGAAATTTGATATTTTTGCATAGTTCGAAGCAAAACAAATAATAATAATAATAATTCAAAATTTTATACATTCAATTCTTATATGTAATTTTAATGTTATGTTCGCAAAATATTGTTTTGCATTTTATTGATTAAATTGCAGTATGTAACCCTGCACAAAAGCTGAAAATAGCGCACCAACTGTCAAATGTCACAAACAAAGTTTTGGCGTTTATTTTCTTTGCAACAAAAACTCATTTATAATTGTATATCGAATATTTATTATTCGAAACAAAAGTCGGGTCAATATGGTTGAGCGCATTCAAGATTTGAATTTGCCTAACACGAATATTATAAAGATTATCAAAGATTCCCTGCCATCCGATGTAACCATGGACAAAGGTTTGCTATCTTTCATTTTTATACTATACAAAATGTTAATTTTTTTGTTCCTTTTTTTATCAAATTAAGAGGCTCGAATCGCAATTGCTCGTGCGACATCAGTATTCATAATGTATTTATCATCAAATGCTGCTGCCATGGCACATAAAAAGAATCATAAAACTTTTAGTGCTCAGGATGTTCTCGATTCAATAAATGAAATGGATTTTAAACATTTTACCATTCCAATGAAAAATGCTTTAATCACCTATCAAAAATCAATGAAAGAAAAAAAAACAAAAAAAAATTGCCTTGAAGTACGCAATACAACTGTATCGCCAACCAAAAGTGTAAACAATAAAAATCCAACGCCAACTCTTACTGTATCACAAGACATCATCGAAATTGATGACAGTGATTAGCATAAGTCATAAGATTTAAAAGCAAGTTTTCAAAATTTTCAGTATTTTCATATCAACGTCATTTCAGTCATATGCATTATTTTAAAGAAAGCAAAAATATGAAAAACACAAATAAATAAATACATAGTAATTTTCAATTTTTTTTTTATTTCAACTTTATAAATTATCAATCATAAGCACAGCAATTAACCATTTCTAATATAATGCGGATTAATCCTTTTAAAAAACCTCGGCTATCTAAGAGCTGATCTTCTAAGTTGTAGAATTGAAAATTATTTGTTTTTGCGACGACGTTGCTCACGTTCCTCCTAAAATATAGAAATATTTAGTTGATTTGTGTTATGATCATTTCATATAAAATGCACCAAAATTCACCTTTTGAGTCAAAATAATTAGCAAACGACGGAACATTGAAACCAAATCGAAAAATAAATCCATTGAGTGTCTGATACAATCTGTTGAGCCTGCTCGTCGTTTCTCCATGATCATTTGAGTGTCAAATAATACAAATCCAGCCATAACAATCAATCCAATGTACAAATGGGCCTTATTCAAAAATTATCATTTGATTAGTGCATTTTGAATCAATAATGTTAATTGCATTTTTATTTTAACTTAATCAAAGTTATTATCGAAAAAAGAACTTTCATATCATTTATGACGTCTTTAAAAGGGGGAATAATTTCTTCACGTTATCTTACCTGATAGATAATTTGTGATTGGATGAAAATATTTGCCAAACCAAACAAAGTCATAGTACTCAAAATGCCTAGGGTTAATCACAAAGAATGGAAATAATGGAAATAATGGAAATTAATCAATATGTAATGGAACGTAATGGAAGTAATGGAAACATATAATGAAAATCAATTATGTATAATTTAAGAGTAAAGTAATCGTCACACATTTGCAACAACATTGCTTTAATTTGAGATTTGGTAGTAGTGTTAAGAATCGCGTTCTGCTGTGGAAGAAAAACAAAAACAAAATACTTACTATAAAATAGCACTTAGTGCCAAGGCCTATTTCAATTTAAAAAAAAGAATGGAAGGAAAAAAAATATCACCATTAATATATCAATCGGTCTCGTAGACGGAGTAAACTACGGGAGACGGCCGGGGAGGATATTCATTTTATTTGTACCGGGGAAGAATACGATTGTGGACCGGTTCATAGTTGGGGCAAACTAGAAAACTGATCGATACAAATCCGATACGATAGAATTAAAATTCATTTCACAATAAAGAAAATGCAATTCCGAAAAAAACACACTTACTGATCCTTTGTATTCATATTCACCGATTTATGGTATTGGTCTATTGCTCAGTGTGTTTGTATGGTTGCCGAAAAGAACACGATAGCGGACCGGTTCGTAGTTGGGGAAACTAAGAAACTGATCGATACAAATTCGATACGATAGAATTAAAATTCATTTTACAATGAAGAAAATGCAATGCAAAAAAAAAACACACACACACTTACCGATCCTTTGTATTCATATTCATATTGTATATAGTTGGGGCAAACTAAGAAACTGATCAATACAAATTTGATCCGATAGAATTAAAATTCATTTCACAATGAAGAAAATGCAATGCAAAAAAAAAACTTACCGATCCTTTGTATTCATATTTTCCAGGTTCTGACATCGTTTGTGGTCGGTTTGTGAACGATTCCCAGTGTAAGAACTAAAAATGTGTCCATATTCTTCTTCGACATTTGATGTGTCCGATTTGTTGTTCCTGTCAATGAATGAATGTTGAAAACAAAAAAAAATATGAAAAAAAAAATCTTTAAAAAATCTAAAAAAAAACATTAAATTGCATATCGTAGTCAAAGTAGGCTTTGAAAAATCATACGAGTAAGAAACTGCGTCGCACTATTGGCTAACGGTACCCGTAATCCACTGTGCGCAATGATGAAATTCATGATTTAACTTGATTTTGTATTGTGTTCAATGTGTTTCTCTCTATCTCAATCTCATTCTACCATGCAGTCAATTTAAAAAAAAATCGAAAATTCTGTTTAATATTATATTTTAAAATAATACTTACCGAATACTTTTTCTGGAAAACCGATAAGTTTTCGTTTATCCGTTTGCGTCGCCATGTTGCCGTTGTAATGTTGTTCCGATGCAATGCTACTGTGTGTACAACATTGATTCCTTGTGTGTTGTTCTCTCCACTGCTACTACCACTACCAAATCTCAATTTTCGTCAGCAAAGTGTTTGCTAACGCAGCTTCGTTCAATTCATTTGCAAATTGTTTTTAATTTATGTGTGTATATGTATGATAAAACCCTAACTAATTTCTGCCCTTACTCATAAAAATACCGCCCAAGAAAAGGAAACTTCCTCGTTCAGCAAGTAGTGCTGAACAGCTAAGTGATACAAACACCACAACTGTTCCAATCAACGCAGTGACAACCACTTGTGGCTCGACTGCAATAACCAAATTCAATAATGGCCCAATTGAGTTGCCAGTTAGAAACCCGAAACCAAACAGAGCTGCGAGACGAGTATAAAATGTCTTTGGGTCATCAATGGCGAAACTCAAGTATAACACAAGTCCAATCGAACCGAATGCTGATAATAAACCTGCTTCGAATATTCCAAGTAAATGAACAATGGCGCCAATTGCAGCGCAAATTGTTGTGGTCGTGAGACATGCATAGACTCGGACAAGGTGATGTCGTACATTCGGTTCGCTGGGGAATAAATTAGAAAAAAATCAAATGTATATATTTAATATATGTTTATAGCAAAAATTATCCTATCAGCAAAGAGCTTTAAGGTCACTTGAAGTCATACAATATTATGCGCAAAATAGTGAGCTACTGACGTAGTTCTATAACTAACTACAGAATTATCTACAGAGTAATAGTTCTTCGTAATATTTTATTACATTTGTTGTTGTGAAATCATAACAACTATTTGCTTACATTTTGTTGCCGAGATTTTCTGCAAATCTAGTAAATGCATCCGCTGCAGCAGACATTTTTATACTATTGTATTTGCTGATTTTATTTAAGATTTCCTTTATATTTGAGAAATGTTCACTGTGAAAATTGCCCCGAAATATAAGAATCACTCAATAATAAAAAAATATCTCTACTAATAATTCGACAAATTGTTTTTCTTGAAGTTTATCAAACTTTCTAATAACTGGATAATAATTTCGTATTTATCACGTTATTGATGTACGTAGAATCATGAGTATGAATATATTGTACACGTAATACAATAAGACCTTTTGTCTAATAACGTCGATGTATGTATGAACAGTGGAGTGTCATATGAGTGACAGCTATTTCACTAGTTATTATAAAAAATGTAGTATAGTAGATTGTAAGGTTAAGCCCACACACAAAACACAATAGCATATTATAATTTTTTCTTTAAACTCTTTAAAGAAAAAATTGTCTAATGTCTGAATATTGAATTAGTATTATTGATGTGAACCGAGCCTTATGACATTTGACGTTCATTTCATTGGTTTTCGAAATTTCATAAACGCTGCTTCATTCATACAGATAACACGTTTGGCGTTGTAAATACAAAGTCAACAAATCAATCTTACATTTTATTACGATATAAACTACAGCAGTGTAAATTCCAATTCAACGTTTCAATTATTCTACGATTTTGCTGATAATTCATATTATTTTCGATTTACGATCCGGAGTTCAGATAGATTGTTGAATTCAAGTCACCAGTGTGAGTAAACTAAATCATTTTACTACCGTGAAAAATATTGGTTAATTCATCAATAAGAACTATTATTTTTAATGAGAAATCAAAAATTGAATAACGTGCTTATTCCAAGCAGTAATTCCTCTGCTTCTCATTGTGAATATCATTTTTATTTCATAACACGTAATATAAGCCATTTATAACGTGAAATATATTTAAGTAGCGAGAGTCAAGCGCAATAAGGGCACACTATATAAACGCCATCTATTAATAACCGACTAACTACAATGTAAATCAAACGTATCTGTTTCCCCTTTTTATTTACTCCCTTCCCCTCTCGCTATACTTTTACATTGTAGTTAGTCTGTTTTACAAAGATGTCGTTTCTGTGTAAGATGTGTGACGTCACAATGTATTTATATGGATAGCGCTCGACTCTCGGTAATTTATTAATAAAATGAAAACTCTTTATTTATTCTTCGAAATCGATTTCGTCGCCTTCAAACAGTGTGTGAAGTCACTTTCTGGTATGAATCTCTTCTATCGACTCGAAACGGTGTCCCCGGAGTGGTCTTTTGAGTATAGAAAATAGCCAAAAGTCACACGGTGCTAAGTCAGGCGAATAGGGTGGTTGCGGAACGATACGAGTTGAATTTTTGGCGAAATGATCACGAATAACTAATGCAGTATGAGCCGGTGCATTATCGTGATGCAAAAGCCACGAGTTGGGTGCTTGGGTTATGTAAATATTTTTCATCCGGATATTCGTGGTTTTTTCATTTTTTATCATTTCGGAAAATTTATTTTTCACAATTTATTTGCAAAAAATCAACGTAATTTTGTACAGAATTGAATGCATTGATTTGTTATAAAAGAATGAAGTTTTACAAAAATATTTAAATTTTGTGATTTGAATTGAAAAATTTAATTTATTTTTTAATTTTACTTGTTTCGTTACGTTCTTTTCTCACAAATGCTCTGCTCATAACTGTATTTTGTTATTTTTTATGTTTTCATTTCCATATGATATTATTTGCATCCTTGTAAATGGAATTTTATTATCAAAAGTGTTTAGAATGTGATCAAAGTTGAACTTAAGTGCCGAATTTTTTTCAATTTTATCAGTCAAAACTCTGTATCATATTTATACAACCATCGAACAA